AGAAACAGAAGCTCTGTAACTTTAATGTTTGCCAGTACATCTGTCGTATCCATTGGCTTATTAAATTATAAAAACTTGTTTTTTACAGGGGGCCAGAGGTGATGTTTAATTTTCTCTACCCAGGCTAGCTTATATATGACCAGAAAAACTTGGCATCGTTTTCTTTATTTCTTTTTTTAATGGAGTTATATTCTCTGTTTGGTTTTGTTGTGACATTCTGGAGCCTTCTAATTTAATTTGTTTTGCTCCTGTTATTTGATTAACCAGGTTACACTGCCAAACCTGGTCAGTTATCACCCCGATACTCTGAAGGCTAGAAGGGAAGTGAACTTCCTGGGACATACATGTGGCGAATGATCAGAGGGTAAAAAGAGTTTCTGAATTATTAACCAGGTTAATAAAAATAGAAGAGTGTTTAAAATTTTTTATCTTCTCATTTTTATTATTTGTACACATAGTAATTATGGGACAATAACTGATATGCAAAATGTAAATGTATGTGTATGTATACTAGGTAGTATTTACTTAGAGTTGACTGGAGTGTAAACTACAGAGAGAAAAAAAAAGATACCATGTTGTTTTCAGTATTTATATTGTGTCTTCTCCCCTCCCACTCAATTCCTTCAATTGTCTCCTAGATTAGAAATAAGTATTGTTTCTCTGAGTGTTTTTGTTTGTTTGTTTGCTTTTTAGATTTTTCTTTTCCCATCATCTACCTTTCCCTATTGGATGTTAAAATAATAAGGCATATGATTTTAATAATCTTCAGCATTCAGATGATAGTCATTTTGAAGGAAAAGGAAGCCATATCAGACAGAATTTACACAGCAGTGTATGGGCTTTCAGCAGCGGTTGTTAGTGCTAACACCGTTTTCCCAGTTGCTGGTATTAAGGTAGCAGCAGGCCCGTACTAGCAGAGCTGTGATGTCCCAAGCACAGCTGTATTTCTGCCATTCCCGCAGGTTTGTGTGCACCTGGGAGCAGCCACACCCAGTTGGTATCAGTCAACAGTGTATCATGCCATGTGTTTTTTTAATTCATGATTTCCTCTTGAAACTCCACTGAGGAGTGTTAACTGTGTGCGTTTTTTTAAATTCGGTTTTGTATGCTAGCATTCTTTAAATGTCTGCCAGAAGTTTAATTTGAATTTCTGATCCCTGAAGGCAGCTAGACAGAATCATTCTAGTTCTTCATAAATTGCCTTCTATGATTCATTGTTAACTCATAAAACATACTCATTTCTATATACTCAAATAGTTAAGGTAGTTACAGTATCGGAAATTTTTTTTTTTTGCCTTATATTTAAATCGTCTTTTGAGAAAGAAATGAAGAATTAGCTTGAACTCCCAGTTAAGGTATGAGCCCTGTAGCACAGAAAACATCAGAAATGAATATTTTTATCTCAAGGAGGTTGAGGTAGATGGCATGGAATCTGGAAAAAAAAAAAAAAAAAAAAAAAAAAAAAGTTGCGTTTTTACTGAATACTCCCAAAGAGGGGCCCATAAATATTAGAGTGCTGTAGTTAAAAACTCACATGACTGTTTTAAATACTATTGATTTAAACCACTGGCTAGATTTTATGAATCAAAGTGTAATTTCGAAGCTTTGGCCATATTTCTCAATGCTAAAGCACTCTCTCTTGTGTGCCTTTAGCTGCTTTCCAGACATTCAACACAGGATTAAATGATAGTAGTTACAGTGATCAATAGGTTAAGACTGCTACAATCACTCTTGCCGCTAATGACCTCAGTAGTAATGGGCAATAAAGTGTGGGCTGTAATAGCCTCTCGCTGGTACTGCATGCCCTTTGATTCCTAGTATTAGTAGGGACTAGCTACATGAAAAAGTTGGACGTTGGGAATTAAGGGAGTGGATATATAGGCTATAATTCTTAACTATTTAAAGCCTTAAAAACTGTGCTCAGATTTTTTTTTTTTTTCTTTTCTACCCAACCATAGTTTCTGGTCCATTTGAATATGTTTGTTAAAGCTTTCCATACCTCTTTTCATGATACGTTGGAACAGAAACTTTGGGGAATTCTCGGTTTTATAACATTGGTAAATGAAGCTGGAGCCCACTCTGGAGGCCCAGAGCTCACTGGTATGAAAACGTGGTTTCAGATAGTAAAAGCGAAGTTAAGGCCATCAGGATATAATAGCCCACTTCTGATTATTCAGAGACTGATCAACCCGTTTGGAGGATTACTCAGGCCTCATGCTTCCTCCCCTCCTTTGGTGGTGCCTGCTGCTGTAAAGCGTATTATTACTCATCAGCACTTGCATCAAAATGTCCAAAAGGAAAAAGAAGGGGACACTCAAGTTCATTATCCTGTTGTGTAACACAACTGTAAAAAAAAAAAAAAAGGAATAAATAATTGTGGGAAAAGGAGATTTAAACCACTGATTGGATGTCAGCCTTTCAAGATTGTCTGTGCATGTATACGTCAGGCCTGTCCGTGATTCCCCCTTTTATTATTGACAGTCAAGGGACAAAGTTTTTTCTCCTTTAAGGAGATGCTTCTAGTTTTACCAGAGTTAAGGGGGAAAACTATTTTAGGAGACATATGTAACTTCTAAAATCAATTTTATTGAGGGATAATTGACCTGAGCTCAAATATACTCATTTTCAGCACATAGTTGGAAGACTTTTGACAATTGTATACATGTGTATGAGCAGCACCCCAGTTGAGATATAAGATATTTCCTTTGCCTCCGAAAGTTCACCTGTGCCCCTTTCTGGCATGAGGTTTCCATAGGTCTTTTAAAAATGATGACCAGGAGGTTATTTCTATGATGATTTCTGTCCTAACTCTGTTAAGTTCATGTTCATCACCAGTTTAGATCTTACACCACCCTATTCCTGTCTGTTTTCCTGTTCATCACCATCAGAAATTTGGCTCAAGAATATTTATATTGTACATCATCCAAGAAACGCAGAGGAAAAAAAGAGACCTTAAACATGGTTCTTTTGTTTGCTTAATCATACCTCCCCGTGTAATGATGCAACTCTCAAGGAAAAGTAAACTTCTATTGTGATATGCTGGCTTTAGCGGCTCAAAGGATACAGATTGGCACCCAATTCATATTTAAAAATCAAAAAAGTTTTTTCTGTATGAAGACAAAGTAGACTAATTGGAATTAGTTTGTAGATAGTTAGATGTTTTGATAATGTCTTCCTGGTGTTTGCCCTAGACTGAATGCAGGTTCACTGTTCCAATCATTGGTGATATTTCGTGCTACAAAGTATCCTTTTAAAAGGATAATTTATCCATTCATATACATCTGTCCCATTTTGCATATGAAAATATTCAGACATGCCCATCTGTTTTAAATTACACTGTATCTACATCTACACTTAAAAGGCCACTGGAATAGGAAGAATTCATAGATGACCTTCCAGAGCTGGGTTAATGAAATTTTTCGAATGTTCTAGCTAGTGTTTTCCAAACACACGAAACTTGCACACCAACATCCCCACACATGAAACATGCCCACCACAACAGTGGAGAACATTCACTGTACATGAATCTGACCTTCAGGAACCATTTTTAGTTCATCAAAATTAGTGATGCTGAGAAATCGGGACATCAGTGCATAATGACTGTGAAATTAGGAATGAGAGCTCGCTATGCAAATGACAGGACAAATCATGTGCAAAAGTCAAGATAAACTGCATATTAAGACATTATGTTACATAAAATTAATACCGCATTTCTGCCTTTTGCTTAGTGCTCCCCTGAAAGATTTTTTGATTCTTTTATCTTCTGATCAGCTATTGTCTGCCGGATTTTTTTTTTTAAGTGGCACACAGGCAAAGTGCAAAACATGTTATTACCTTTTATTGTAATACATGAGATGACAGCAGATCCTTTTTAACAAAGTATATCCTTTACTGCTTCTAGCTTCTTGCTGTCACATGTTTGATTAGAAACCAAAGAAAAGTAAGATGCTTAAATGTTACGGTTAAAAGATATACAGATTTTGTCTTTTCTTTCATTGTTTTTTTCTTTCCTTATCTTTTTACAGGGGTGGGGGGTGATTTTTCATGAAATAGTCTTCTTGCATTACGGGGACTGACAAAATGGTTCTCATGTAGTCTGCAAATTAAACACAAGTGCAGTGATTATTTTGAATAGCTAAATTACATTCTAGAAAGCTTGCAGAATTCATAGCATTGTCATTAGGTATCCGCTTGAATACAATTTGTGTAACCTTGGCCAAGACAGCCTGTCATTTTAATGTCAGTGTTTTATCTGAACAAGACATCATCCTTTCAGATACAGTGTGCAGGTTCCTTGCAGAGATGCCCGTGCAGAAACGTGTTAACAGTTGCAAATATGAAATGCTATCAAGTTCATCACTGTAGCTGTTTGTCACTGAAATGTCATGGAAAGCGGCTTTTAATGGTATTGCACATAATATGAAAGAATTGAGACATCTGTATGCTGGGGGAATAAGGAAGGGTAAAAGGCATCATGCGAAGGGTCCGCGTTTAAGTTCAGAAGGTGTGTCCAGGGTTCTGTTCCCCGCAAGTATAAGCATTCATGGGTGGTTCTTAAAATCACTGTCCACAGAGTGAGTGGCTCAAATGAGCGCCAACTGCAAAGGCCTTGGTTCCCATTTATCTTCTTCCCTAAAACAAAATCCAAGTTTGGGTTAACTTGCCATAGATAGTTTTGATCAAAAACTCACTCTTAATAAGCAATTGAGAACTGTCTATCCTAACTCCAGTTAGGTTTTATTAAGATTTGTCCTTTTTGTCTGCTTCCAAGGCTGCCTGGAACCCCTGTCAGTACTGCAAGATTTTATTTTTCTTTCCTCAAAATAAACTCCATCATAGATTAACGAGAATCTGTTGCTGCATCCCCTCCGGATAAATAACATGTTGCATGGGAAATTGGTCAACTCTGTAAGCAGGCTGATGGCAGTCTGCGGCTGAACCTGGGAGGCTGTGTGCTTCTGATTTCCTGGCTTCCTATTTATCCTTCATTAACATTCTAGGTTCCCGTGTCAGTGGCTATGATGACACCTCAAGTTATCACTCCCCAGCAAATGCAGCAGATCCTCCAGCAACAAGTGCTGAGCCCTCAGCAGCTCCAGGTTCTCCTCCAGCAGCAGCAGGCCCTCATGCTTCAACAGGTAATTGTCCTTCCTCCGCCTCCAGCCTGTCTCCCCCAGAACCTAGGGCCCCCATCGCTCCATTCACAGTCTCCCCTCCACCAGAGCAGCTCCTTTGCCCAGTGAAGAGTAAGTAGAGCGGTGTGGGCGGGGCAGGACACAGACCAGTCCCTGAATAATTGATGAGCTTGTGCATGCCTGAAAGAGAGGAGCCCTGCCACAGTGACTAGGCTTTGGGCCTGGAGAGTACCTGACGGACTGAGGTCAGCGCTGTAATGGACTTGGTAGCAGTAAGATCTTTTAGGCTTAGATGACTTTACACTCTTTTATTTGGTAAGCCCAGAGGCTCCTTAAATGGTATGAATCAAAGCAAAATGAGGAGCACGTTGGGAGTGGGTTTAACTATGACAGCTCTTGAAGTCCCCATTTCAGCTCAGAAGCTTACTGATTTTTTTTTTTCTTTCTTTAAACATAAGCATTTTGGAGTTTTCTAATTTTAAGGTCCAGAGTTGATTTTACTTCTTCCACGTACGATGTTGCTGTAATGAACTTCTGGTTGTCATTGCACCATGGGGACCTAATATTCAGACTTCACAGCCACCTGAACCAAATAGATGAGATTCGGAACTACGGCGGTGGGAGTCACTGGCCTGTGGTGGTGGGGACAGGATGCAGCGGAAGCTCCCAGGGCTGTCCCTGCACACACTGAATAACACTGCATAGTGCCCAGCCCTGTCATTTAGAAAGCATGCAGAAGAGATTCACCAGACTCTCTCAGCAAGGGCATTTCGCTTTGTTGTACAATCAAAGGTCATTCCTTGCCTTATTTTAATTAGTTTGTGTAGAAAATGGTATGTTTTTCATCAGTTCATTTTGGAGATTACTTTTCAAACAATAATGCCAAGAATAGTCAGTGTGTGCTGAATTTATTGTCGAGTTTCAAACTAAAGGTCAGGCCATTACAGATAAAAGGATGCTATTTTTCAAATCACAGTTTGTGTATGGCACCAAAAGGGACAGTGCATTGGCGCTACCCTCTGTTACTTACCGTCCTCTCTTTCCTTTGTAGCAGCAGCTTCAAGAGTTTTATAAAAAACAACAGGAACAGTTGCAGCTTCAACTTTTACAACAACAACATGCTGGAAAACAGCCTAAAGAGGTACCGACAATACATATTTTACTTTCAAACCACAGATCCCAGAGGACTATCTAGTGGCTATTAAACTGTCATTCATCTTTTAAATGATTGCACAACTGAGCTGACTCTATCGGTTCTCAGCTTTCAGACTGAGAGTTATTGTCCTGTTTTCACTCAGATTTTTCTGGGTTCCATTTGCTTGCTGCCACATATTTTATAACACCACTGCACATGTACCTGTGTGAGGATCAGGAGAGGGATCATTGACAGAGCCTTCAGGTTACTTTTTGCAACCTGGTAACAACTGAGGGCCAGGATGGAGCTGTGGGAAGTGAAGTGCTTTCAGAAAAATTTTACTTGGATGCACACTTAATTTTCTTTTCCCAGCTCAGAGAGCTTGGGTGTGTGGTGATGGCCTTTTCCATTTGAAGAATAACCCCTTGTGAGTTGGATAAACAAACAAAAAAGTTAGAACAAGATTAAACATCCACATCTTTTGTTTAACTTCTTCCTGAAAGTTGTACATAATGTGATTGCTAAAGGCATGTACCAGATAGCATGAGTTAAAGTTAAGAGAAGACTCCAGCTTGGGTTGTGTTTTCCTGAGGGGGCAGAAAAAAAAGTATATAATAGCTTCTACGTACAGCATGTTTGATAGTGTCCATAACTTACCACGTTATGCCACACCGCGAAGGTTGACAGTATTAGTCCCATAAACGATAAGGCCTTTCCAGGGAGTTACCAGTTCACCTTCTATTCAATTCTATGTGCTGAGACTCAGTTGTGGGCGTATCTGTGTGCATGTGTGCGTTATTATGACATCTTTCTACCCATTCCAGAGTTATCCAATTTAACTTGCCTCCTCATATTTTTACAGTGGACTGAAATTTTTTTTTGCTTAAGTGTTCTCCTTGGGATGACACAATTTATAATTCTTTATACAGCACGTCGTCCACTTCAACAGCTTCTTCGCCAGCCCTAAGCAGGTGGCCACTTTTGTTCTTTTGCAGGGCGTCCTGCCAGGTGACTCGACGTCCCTGCCCCTCACCTGAGTGAGGATCCCCGGACTGTGCTCATTTTACACACTGGGAGTGACCCAGACTTTCTCCCTTTGCTGCCTCCTCCCCCGACACAAATTGGGGACGTTTTCCATGTCCTGCCAAGTTTTCACCCTGGAGTCCTGTTGAGCAGCCCGCAGCCCGGATGTAAAGCCCTGCAGAGCAGGGGCAGTTTTGGGGTGAAAGGGGGAGGAGGTGTTTTAATGAAAATGCTGACACAACCTTATGTACAGTGGCGCGCTACCGGGTGCTGCTATAATAAAAAAGGGAACAGATTAAAAAGTGTCTAAAATGTAAATCTAAAGGACTAACAGTAATTAAAATGGAAATGGCACAGGGAGGGAAGGCATGTAATTGTGAGATATCACTGTGCAGAAGGCTCTCAGCTTTGTTTTGCTGGCTGTTTTTCTAATTCAGCAGGGCTTACTCATCAGTGGCAGTTCAATGCGCGTTAATGACTCTGGGATTGCAGGCATCACTCTGGACAAAGAAATGATTATTGTGCGGTCAAAAGAAGTTCAAAGACAAGAAGGGAATTTCAGTTTTTTCCTTAGAGATCCACATTCAAGAGCATATAAATTAAGCCAAATGTTAAAAACCACAGTCTGAAAGCTGACTTCAAAGTCACAACTCTCTAATTAATGAACTGCGAGCTTCAGTTTGGACAAGTTGTGGTTTGATGCGCCCATAAATCAACATGACAGGCCTGTTTCACAGTCTCAGACAGTGCTTGTCATTGAGTCACATCAGATGTAAACACAGCAGAAAAAAGAAGGGGTATGAAGGAGGTGCAATTGATCAACAGAATTGGTAAAAACCCACTTTTGAAGCACATTATGCATGATCACAGGAAATGGTTACAGCCTCAAGAGGTTTCCCCTTCTGCTGTTGCTTTTTTGAATCAGATTGCTAACAGCCTTCAAAAGGGAGAATAAGAATTATGGAGTTTCTCCCCTGTGGCTTGCAGGCAATAACCCCCTGTTGTTATTTTGTGCTTCTTTCTTTTCAAAGGCATCAAAATTTAGTTTTTTAAAGATCTTTAACTCTATATTTGAAGACAAACAAAAAAGGGCTGCCACTGTCATTCTTATCAGTTACCAGGGATTGTGTTTTTCCTTTCTGTTGCCACTTCTTATTAACCTCTTATTTGGTCTGTGAGACATAGTTTGGAATGCACGTCTGCATGCTGGGAGAACATGAAAGTTCAGATGAGCGCAGAGGGCAGATAAAGAAATGTGAAGGGGAAAGTTACACAGCAGAAAGAAGGATAAAAGTTACCTCTCCCAAATCGCTGTTGTCAGAAAGGAGAGCATCCCAGAGCACAAAGATGATAGTGGTATCTGAGTTTGGGAAGGGAGTGGAGCGGGGGTTAGGGGGAAGGAGAACACTTTGTGTCTCAACAAGGAGAATGGGAGGCATTGTAGTAACAGTCTTACATCTCTAGGTCTCTAGGTCTGCTGTGGTCCATGCTTTGTCATCTACTTGTCAGGCAATGGTGACCCGGGAGATAGGTTGCTTGGCATATCCTTTGAGGTAGGCAGACCAGTGGATGGGTCTCCTTGGATTCATGGTTCCAGTGGATTTGTCTGAGACCCAGGGTAGCAATGGTTAGGAGATTTGTATTTTCCTGAGGTAGGGGCCAGTCTCCTGCAATTACCATGCAGGTGGTGGTCCTTTTGTGCTAAAATGAGATGGAGTCACACGGTAGCAATTTCATGATGTCGACTGGTGGTTATGATTTTAACAAGGTTCGAACTTGGATGTTGACAGATGGAACAAGTATGTTAATTTACTGAGTCCCCAGTCACTAGTGGCTCATAATTTTGTATTGTCAGGCTCCCCCGCCCCACCCATTTTTTTTTTTTCCTGTTTTGATTACCTCTGCAGTGAGACACCTGATCTTTGGCCAGAACAATGTACCTTTGCTCTTTTTTTTTCCTCCCCTCCTGAAGTTCCTTGAGATGTTTCCTTGGGAAAGTTTGGCTTTCATACTGGGTTGGACCAAGATAGGACCTTCCTTAAGAAGGTAGATGCTCTTAGGTAGGGATATGGGGAGGAAGAGGATGTAGCCCCAATACAGGTATTGAAGTGACTGCTGATGATTATTGGGCAGAAGTGGTGTGGAAAATAGCAGAATTCATTTTAAAATGAGCTACCAAAAAAAAAATAATAAATAAAAAGATTCCATCCTGTGCGGGTGAGGTAGGCTAAGTTGATTGTTTTAAAAGGGCCGTTTGTCCGGGGCAGTTATGACAGTTTATGTTAGGCAGTAGGGAGTAGCCGAAGAAAGGAAAACAGACCTTTGACTGCAGCTCTAGGGAGGGGATCCAAAACCCGAGGTTTATCAGGGCATTTTAGCATTTTAACACTGACTACTGACCTGCCGAGGGGACTGCACGGAGACCTTTTTTGTATGCATTCAATTGTGAGAAGTAAACAAACGGACCCGTATCCTGTGTTTGGTAACTGGGTGGGGAGCGCAGTTTGGCAACCAGTGTTGCTTTTAAATTCTTTCTTTGGACAATGGGCCTTGTATACTTTTATATCCTGGCTTTTCAAACGTAGACAGCTTTCATGAGCTTTTCCTAGGGATGGCCACAGAGACAACAGAAAAGGCATCAGTCATTTTATATAAATACAAAATTTTTAAACATTTCAGTTACAGTAAGGCAGGAAACGCCCTCCCCAACCTCCAGCTATACCACCCCCTCCTTTATATTCTGCTTTCAGAAGAGCTAATTCCCTGATCTTGTATTGTGTCAATGTTGTTTTTTTCTCTTCCTTCCCTTTTTTTTGGTAATGTTGTGAGTTAATATCTGTTGAAGAAGTGAGAAAATCATTTTGACATGAATATAACTATCATTGGGTTTTACATTAGTATGATAACTTGGGAAGGGGTGAAAAACAATTGGATCATTTTATGCATGCTGTTCTTAAAATGAAAACACTGGCTTTTCATTTAAATTTATTTAAATTTTTGTTGTTAGTGGTATAGAATTTGTTTTTTGGAGTGAAACTCAATTAACTTTCTCAGTGGCATGGTAGTAAGTCTGAAATTGGTTGCTAATATGAGAATGATGGTTTTTACTGTAAAATAAACTACATGAAGACCGAAAGGAAACCACCATTTTTCTCTTTCTTTGAACTTTGCATCAGAAGGTCTTGATATACATACCATTTTATGGATGTATCAGATCAAGGTCATGTGTTAGGTTAAGTGAATGCAGTTGTTTGTAAAGTATAGTTATTAGCCAGAACGTGCAATCTCTGAAAGGGCTTGGATAGTCCTTTTAGTTGTAAACGTCTCTCTGATCTTTTGAATCATATTCAGAATTAGGAACATCGATCTTGTTCTTTTCTTGAAGAATCTTTTTTGTTTGTTTGTTTTTGCTACAGTTTAGGAAGGGTTAATTTTCCTGTTATAATTGTTAGCCATAATGTGGCTAAGACCTCCACCTCGATATGATTCCTAGCAGATTAAGGATATTAGATAATTTCCTTCTATTTATTGTACTACTGCACTGTATTATCTTTCTATCACTCAGATAATTACTGAGGAAATCTACATTAATTTTTTTGGCTGAAGCAAGGCCTGCTAAACACGGGAATGATGTATTGATGTTTTACACAACAAAAGTTTTCCTCCTGTCATTGTGCAATCAACAAAAAGATATTTATCATGTCGTAAAGCCCCTTCTTTTCAAGAACAAAGCAGGTGGGGGAAGCAGGACCAGCAAGCAGACCTGGGGGTTTCTGAGACTAAAGCCACGTTAAGGCATCTGAAGCCTAGACTGTCGTTCATATTAAACTCACAGTTGAGTACGATGTTGTTTGCTAAATTATGAATGTGTGTAATTAAAATCTAGTGGCTGTTTTCTATGAAAGATTTACAATGTTATTTCATCGTTTGTCATGGCTAATTAACAATATTAGATGAAGTTTTTCTTCTTCAAAGGTCTGATTTTTTCTCATTTATTTATGTCAGAAGTGATAAACAGAGTAGTTAAAAGCTTCTGCCGGTACAGGCAGGGAGGGAGGCAGCTTGTTCTTTTACACCTCAAAGGTTCAGGGTTCAAACCCCTTCAGACCAGAATGATGCAGTCTTCTCTCTAGTGTGCATAATTAAAAATTTCAAAGTCTAAAAGTTCACATCTTGATGACAAAACTCAGGCCTTCCAAACTGTGGGGAGAGCTGGCTTGATTGACGAATTATTTATTTATGGGAGCAGGCAGTAGGGAGGTAACACTCACCCCTCACCCCTCTTCGGAGGAGGTATGTTCTGTCCCTTTTAAACCTTGACACGGAGCCCTCCACTGAGCTCCAGTGACCATTCTCAGCGTTTACTATGATGGTGGGTTTTGAAGTGTCCATACTTTTAACCTTCCTTAGGAAGTGGTCATCTCATTTTTTTCTTCCTGATTTCTTACAGCAACAGCAGGTGGCTACCCAGCAGTTGGCTTTTCAGCAGCAGCTTTTACAGATGCAGCAGTTACAGCAGCAGCACCTCCTGTCTTTGCAGCGCCAAGGCCTTCTGACAATTCAGCCCGGGCAGCCTGCCCTTCCCCTTCAACCTCTTGCTCAAGGTATGTGTTGATTATATAGAAGGCATAGCTCTGTGAAGACTTTGGGTGGAGGTGATGGGCTGTCTCTTGGTATATTTGTTAAGGACATCCATCAAAACATGCAGATCACCTCTTTTAAGAAAAGTGGAGTGGGATAATGATGGACCCATGTAGAAGGTAAAATGCTTGTTGATGGCAAAATAAAGTCTTAGGGTGGTCTGAAGGCTTAGCTGTCGCAGAGCAATCCCACTGTTGGACATTCTTGGAGTAACGGAATGAGACACTACTTTGTGCTTATTGAGCATTTTAGTGGACTCTTGAAGTGTTTCTCTTTGGAACCACAAAGGAATTTTCCTGAAGGCTTTTATTATTCATTTAAGACCTTTTTTTTTTTTTTTTTTTTTTTTTTTTACCCATGTAACGTGTGCTATTTTAAATCTTAGCAAATGCCATGTTTTAATATCTAGGGATAAATTCAGGTTTACTTTTCTGTAAATGATTAAAATCAACCACTTTGTTATAAAAGCCAAGGTTATTTTTTGTTTAGTTTCTTTTTTTTTCCTTTTGGCATTCATCTGTTGATTTTTGAGCAAGTTAGTTCTACACTCATCAGAACAGGTACCACTTCCATCCACAGTTCTTCAACCTCTGAGATTTCTTGAAAAGTAGGATTTTATACGTTTAGTGACTTTCTTTTGAAAAGCCCACTGACATTTTATCCCAAGGGTGATGGACATCAGAAACAAATGGGACCTCTAGGTGTTTTTAGGACATTGTCTTGGTTTAAGCAACTCTGACTTTCACATATGTGATGTGAAAACAGATGGATTATTCAGAACTAGAAAGGAAGGTGGGAGGGAAGGAGGAAGGGATGTCAAGAGGGAGGGAGGGCGGACAGGCTGGAAAGAAGGAAAGAGAAAGTAGAAAGTGCCATGCCGATGTTTTGAAGCGCAGTTCCTTCATCCATGCATGGTAGAGCAGAGTTGAGTTGCCTCTTCAAGGCCAGAAGTTCTTTGAACTCGAGTAAGTTTGGATGTTGGTTTATATGTGCCGTAAAGGCTAATAGCTAAAGCCATTGGTGTCTTGGATTCAGTTGCCTTCTGAAGAAGGTTAAAAATGTGGAACCTCTTTCTGTTGCTTAAGGCCTGGTCATTTGTTTGGTAACTTTTGGGTCAAGTGAAGTCAGGGAAGCATGTCTGCATTTGAATCTTTTCTCTTGAGTCACCACACCCAACTTCTTTCCCTTATGAGTCTGTTTTTGTTTTTAATACTCAGACCGGGGCTTTTTCCTCTTCACTTCTCTCTTGCCCCGCCACTTCTTTCTGCCATGACTGCTCGATACATGCTCAGCATCTCCATTGTCAAAACAGGAGATGTCATAACCAAGCAATACAAGGAGAAAAGAAGGAATATATATATATATTATATATATATATATATATATATTATATATATTTACATCAGTTAATGCATTTTTGTGCTTGCAGGGTGTCATAGCATGCGTTAATTACACCTTTGGGTTTATTGCTGGAAACATGGCAGGCTGTTCTGACACACCTACTGGACCCAAGCTCCAACCTCTCTCATCTTTTCCCACCACTCCTATACTATTAAGTTTGCTCACTAAGGTTCATTGTTACAGTACATCAGTTAAGCTGTCCAAAAGAGGGCAATTGGGCAGTGACAAGACAAGCTCATGTGTAATGTGAAAGAAATGAATGTGGTGATGCATGGAGTGTAATCTCTGCAGTAACATATCAGAGACACTGGTAGGTAATTCACTAGTCATGGCATTGATTGATAGGCTTAGCAGTCTGCTATAACCATTAGCCCCTGCAACGTTGGGAAGAAGCATATTTGAAATCTAAGGGGTGCATCTATGTGCGCCTGAGATGGCATAAATGTAAACATAAATATTTTTGGTGTCAGGTTCTTGCAGCAAAGTGAACTACCAGCGTTATTTCCATCTCTCTGAATCAGGAGGTTGGTTTTGTTCCTCAACTCCCTCACCCAAAGTGGCTGGAGAACTCAGTCATGTTGGACTAGAACACAATTTTTTTTTTTTTTTTTTTGTCAGAGAGATGATGGCTTAAAACTGATGTCATTATGAGGTTTAAATCAACTTTCTGCTTGCTTGAACATGGTCACCTGGGTATGGATGTACAAGGACAGAAAAAGGTTGATCAACTCTGTTTGTCTTTGAGCCACTGATACCTGGGGTTGTAAAATTGAGTTCCATGAACAGTAATCTGTCATCTGTCCCCACAACATACATTTTTTAAACCTGTGCCTGCATTTTCTTTTATAATGAAGGGGCCAGTTGTCTTGGAAAAAGAAACCTTGCAAGGCATGGGGGTTATCTGTTAAAGATCCTGGTAATGCCCACTTCATAATGAAATCATCAAGATTATTTTACATACCTGTTCATGGCCTTGCCGAGTTAACCTTAAACGTGGAAATGTCAAGTATAGGAATAGATAGATAATTAATATTTTGAAGGCCTTTTTTTTCTGAAGGTTTTATAATATGCAATGGAGGGATATTTTCTGTTGTTTTTAAGGTTATTGTAGGGTCTTCTTTCTGTTTTACATAATTAGCATATCTGCTTTTCACCTTGGTCTCATTAATCATCTGATCCTCCCTAGCACCAGTAATTTCATATAGAAATATTCTTTCAGTCTCATTCTGACCTTTTAATTTTTAAAATGTAAACTCTAGGTAGCAGAAAATTACATGCTTGGTTACGTACCTGCTAATGGATTTAACTTTGTACTATTATTCTTAGTCTTCCATTTTGGAAGAAATACATACTTTCTGGAAATCTGATATCCATTTAGTCTGATGAGTGACTAGGTTACCTTTTATCTGTCTAACATGAGATTTTAGCTGTCAAATAACAACACCGTTTGGTAGGTAGTGTTCATTGAACTAACAGTTTAACATCCCTAACAATGTATGGCATTGATGGAGGAGAGCGATTTGACCGCCTCTGTGTTAAGTGTGATGAGAACGTTCTTAAAAGTAATTATCACATTGCAGTTTGACCCAGAAGTATCGCTGTTGTCACTTAATGAGTTACTATTTTTATTTACCATTTTTCTTATGGATAATGAAACTGATGTGCCAGCCCATTGGAATAGATGGCGAGTAGAGTAACATTAATGCACCCTGTAGGTATAACAAATGGTGAATACATTTGTCTTTGTCTTTATTTGCTGGATAAACAGTTTACTTTTAAAACAGCATCGAAGTTCTGCTTTTCTTCGAGAGAAAGTGGGAATTAACAGAGTTCTGAGAACCCTATCCTCGTCTTCCCGTCTCCCCGTCTCCCATGCAGCTGACCCAGAAATCAATTAGTTTGAGTTGAAAAATAGGTGGCTTGTTCTTTTCATGTGTTTACGCTCTAGAAAATAAAAATAGGTGTTGACTTCTGTGGTTTTATATCAATATGCTATCATCAGCAGACAAGCCTATTAACTATTGTTTCCATTGAGTAAACAGTGGTCTGAAGGTCACCCTTGTTCACAGGTAATTGTTGGTGTGCAGACAGCAGTGGCAGACCTGCTAGCTACAGATGCATCCCACCTGTCACTTGGAAAGGTGTTTGAAAATAATAGCCCAGATGCAGCAAAACCGGACATGGGATTGTGGAGTGACCTTTCCCTTTGTTTAATTTGCCTCCGAGGTTTAATTTCAGGGGACAAGTAATAATTGAATATGCCCAATAACTAAATGCTCATTTGGGACAAAATCCATCAAAATGTAATTGGCATTTGATTTTTATGAAGGGAGAAGAAAACTGTCGAGGATGCCTTCTAAGAATATCTGACCACTTAATGTATCATTCGAAGCCTCCTTTATAATATATATTAATTGCAAATACTTGAGCATTTGAACATTTTCGTGGAGAACCGTTAGGAGAGACCAACTGTTTTTGTTAACGTTCCCCTCAGAAAGGCGGGGAAGGTTATTGGTCTGCTGTGCAATAATTTACTCCTCTTTGATATGCAAACGATCCACGGTGAATATAAAAAAATCCTATCAGACTCATTTCACAGTTCTTAACCACTCGGATTCTCTGGAGTCCATCGCCTCATTAGACCAGTGCTCTCCAATGCTAGCATAATTAAAATCTTTAACAGTTTAGCAAAGTAAAGATGTTTGGCTGATCACGTTGAGATGATTATCTATCCATTGTATTCTAAATGACAAAAATAAATTAAATTTAGACCTTGGCATTTTTTATTATGTGTTTCAAATGAATGTAATGCGCACAGCCTTCTTTTTTAATTCAATACCTTAGGTATGGTAAGAAACACGCCTGTTTCGGCTGCTGCTGTATAGTCAGAAAATGGCAGGCTTTCTGGGTAGGCTGTGTTACAGTTGATTGAAACAATGAACTGCAGTCCAGAGGTCCACTTCTCATGTGGTATTGCCTTACAATGTTCAGGGCTTATGGTTTCTTTTCAGTGTTCCCCCAAAGGAAGTTACTGTTTGTTGTTGTTAGTTGGCATCTAGAATATTTTTCTTCTGCGCATGTATCGGCTAGAATATGCATCAAGGTGGCATTTGGAAATCCTGAGCTGCAAGAAGCATGCCACCAGAATAAAGACTAAGAGGCCCACAGTGTTGTGACATTGGCATACTGATTGTGTCTCTTCTTGGGGGAAAATGCTGGATTCGCTCCTTAAAAGGCCCATGTCCATTTTGATCCCCTTTAAAAAAGCAAGAGAACTTTATTACTCCAAGTTTATTTTACGTTTTCATTTTATTCTGCAATGGTTCATTACCATTGATCTAAGAAATGACAGTAATAATAGTGTTACTTGTATAAAAAGTTACACAGTTTTTCAGTAGACACATCCATCAATTAAGCATGTGGTACTCGAAACCAAAATTAATGAGGAAGATAGGTGTGTTAATGAAATAATCATAGTATAATCAATTTGACTGTTAAAAGTTGAAAAGCATTTCAGGAAGACGATATGAATTCATAATTTATGTCTAAAAGTGATTAATAAAAACTATATTTAATAACAAAGCTATTTGTCATCATTTAAGACTTAAGCAGAAAAATTATTCACTTTGTAGTTCATATTGTCATAATAGTATAGTTGAACTAATTTATTTTGAGCCCTTTGTGTCTAAAACTGAGGTAACATAGTTCTACTTTTTGTCAAAAAAAATTGAGAAATAGCACTTCAGATGGTTAGAGGCATATTATCGTGGCAAAGCAACTGTGTTTTGAATCCTTTTCACCTGAATCTTTTATGTGCGAGGAGGGCAACTTCCACTCAGTTGCTCAGTAGGAGGACACACTTTTTACTACCGCATCTGCCTGAGTTGGGAGGGAAAAAAAACCCCGCACTCACCAAAAAACCCCCCTAACACTAGGCTTTGTTTACTGACTCTTTGATTTAATTACTGTTTGAAGAGGACGGAATTAGCTGTTAATTGATTTAATTATCCAATTTGTTTGTTTCAGGCATGATTCCAACAGAACTGCAGCAGCTCTGGAAAGAAGTGACGAGTGCTCATACTGCAGAAGAAACCACAGGCAACAATCACAGCAGTTTGGATCTGACCACGACATGTGTCTCCTCCTCTGCACCTTCCAAGACCTCTTTAATAATGAACCCACATGCCTCTACCAACGGACAGCTCTCAGTCCACACTCCCAAAAGGGAAAGGTAGGAACCAGCCACTGAGATGGGTCCCAAACTGCCTTTCACATGAGAGGGGTGGGTGGCCCTGCCTCGCTGTATCTTAGTGATCCCTAATTGGATCCATGTGACTTGAATGTGCAGATAATTACTGAAGAATGTATTCAGCATGGTTTGGGTGTGAAGCATCTAATTATTTTCACCTTTTCAACATGGAATTAGCACTTATGTAGATCTACTCTCAGCTTAGGAACCCGGGCAGAAGTCGTGTAGTTTCTCATTGGATGGGTTGGATTTCCAGGCTTCCAGACCTACTCCTTCTGCCAAGTGCTCACTCTGAACAAGCTGAATTCCTTGGCTGGAAGTGCCTTCTAAGGGAATAGTAGTGTCTGCTGTGGGCAATTTTGAATTATGGTTTGAGAAAACATAGAACTTATGTTACTCTACATTGCTCCCCTTGAAGGCTGGGCGCCCATGTTTTTCATCATTGTGCCCTGGAGCACATGGTCTTTTCCGTATATATTCTGCGTGAAGGTTTGGAGGATGGAGAGACAGAAGAGGTAGTGGTGGTGGCAGCGGGTGGAGGAGGGGGTCTGTTGTATATACTCACATAAACAGACACAGCACACTTTCTCTTCATAGTAGGGTGTAGTGTAGCATTGTCTCAGCAGCTGTATTCCTACTGAGAAGTTAAGACATTTTATTTTTGAATTGTCCTGGGCTTTACATGAATGTTACTTGAAGCTGAGCTTGTCTTAGAGATCTGGAGTAGGTTATGTTAGCTTGCAGTTCTAAGAAAATAAAGCTGTTAATTCATGTTATTTTGTCTTAGTACCCAGAAGCATTAATGCTACTGTTTTCAGTATTTTTCAAGAGTAGAAAATACAGTTCCTAAAATTGAAAACTTTTTTTGAGTTTACTGTCTCTAAACTGTTTTCTATATATTTCATAGGCAGAGCTTCCACACACAAAAATGCCATTTCTAGCAGGAAAAAGCAAATTCTGTATTTCGTTTTTTTAATCAAAATGGCTCAGGGGAAAAACTTTAAATTACATATTTCAGTTATAGAGTTACAAATATAATTTCTTATATTTCTCAAAATATTGAGCATTAAGAAGACTACTGATTTAATTAGATGTATATCTTTATACCAGAAAAATATTATCTGAACATACACACACACACCCCACCCCACCCCCCGCCCCACACACACCCCACACACACCCCCCCACACACCATGTTCAAGCATAAAACCACAAGTGATTATCAGAGACGAGGATAATATATAGGTGCTTTAACTAACAGTTTCAACTATCTTTCCAAGATCATTTTGGAATTTCTGAGGCAGACACCTAAGAATTAACAGAGGCATTAACCATATTGGTTTAGAAGAGTTTGAAGAACAGAAGGGTGGACACTAAGAATCAGTTTGGAGCCATTGGGTCAAATGCGGCTTGTGTTGTTTCCAGCGAGGATACATGCATATGTCTGGAAGCCAATCTTAGCTCTTGCTTTACAGTCTCTTATAATGCCTTTTTTTTTTTTTTTTTTAAATCTAAGAAAGTAAACCTTAGATGGCATTAAAGAAAAGGTTCTAGGCTGTTGTCCTTTGCTGTACTTGGTTTTGATGTCTTAAGGTTGATGCGTCCATTTACTGCAGAGCGATTGAATTACATCTTTATCCATAGGCAGAGCAGGAGGCCATACTCTGAAAAATGCCGACTGATGCACTTAAGGTATTTGTTGCAGTCTCGTCGGCCATTGTGGAGCCTGCACAGATTTCCTGTGACATAGAAAACTCTTCTTGTTTAGATGCACTGCACTCAGTTTCATTTTCTAAAAGGTTCTATATCTGCAGTCAGGTGATAGATTAGCAAGGAGGCAAGTGGGAGAAGAATAGCCTTTTTCATGTCTTAAGGCACATTTGAAAGTAAATGGATCTAAGAGACAGTCTAATTCCAGGAGACTAAGTTTGTTTGAATTTTTTTTATAGTCCTTATTTGTCTGCACAAAAGTTGTGCTTAATCTTCATTATACTACACACCAGAATTAGAATATGGATCAGAAAAGAATTCAGATTTTAATGAGCCTTAATCTAGCTGTAAAAGCGGGCTGAGTTTTCCAGTTGTACATGGAAAAAAGAAGCAACTATGAAATTGTATGCCACTACTTAATCTCTTGAATCTCTCAGTTTATATTATCTGGTAGCTTCCTAGATGTGGCTAGATTAAAAGAAAAATTCTAGTCAGCACATTTTAACTGAATGTAGCTAACAAGACAAATAAGCACCTTCAGTTAAAGATAATTCAGAAGTTCTAAGCTTAGAGAATTGAAAACTCAATTAGGCCTGGTGCAGTGTTTCATGCTGGTAATCTCAGGACTTTGGGAAGTCGAAAGCAGAAGGATTGCTTCAGGCCAGGAGTTCAAGACTAGCCTGGACAACATAGAGGAACCCCAATTTCTATTAACGGTCGTTTAAAACTATTAGCCTGATGTGGTGGCACACACCTGGAGTCCCAGTTACTCAAGAGGCTGAGGTGGGAGGATCATTTGAGTTCAGGAGTTTGAGGGTGCAGTGAGCCGTGATGACACCATTGCACTCCAGCCTGGGCAACAGAGCAAGATCCTGTTGCTTTAAAAAAAAAAAAAAAAAAAAAAAAGCAATTTTTAATTAGCCAGCTTTGTATACATATAAACACTTCAAATGAATATTATGTAGCTTTACCTTATCAGGCTTAATTTTAAAATCACATATGATATCCAGTTAAATACCGAAACAAAAACAAACGAAAAAAACCTGTCACACCGTCCACTGATCTGCCAGTTGTCTCAGGAGTTTCTTGTCACTGCCTGTGATGAGGTTTCTCTCTTACTCACCAGTGCATTTGTGAAATATGTGTCCTTCCAAGCTCTTCTTTGATTTCTGTGTAATATTCTTTTCTCTCCATTCTGATGGGCAAGGAAGAGTCTCTGCCACACTGAATTACCATCTAGCCCCATGACCTTGATCTTGGGTTAGCAGCTTTAAGACTTCTTTCTGACGTGATCTGGAGGTGCTCTATGGGAACGTTTGTTGGATAAAGGTAGTGTTGTGAGAGTTTTTGTTTGTTTTCAAAGTAGCGAGGTGGCTAATGATCTCAGCTGAGTCACGTATTTATTTCCATGCCATTTGGAAAACTCTTTATCCCCCACTCTTGCCCCCGTGCATTTTGCTGGCTCCTGTGAGCAGCCACTGCAGTAGCAGCAGCTCTGGGGTTTGGTGAGCTGCAATCTGTTAAGGAGATAAATAATGTGCTTGGCACGACACTCCTACTCTCCTCTTTAATTTGTCTTACACAAGGAAAATTATAATTAAATCATTCAGGGTAAACCCTTGAGTGTAGAGAAGGGAAAAAACACACTTTGGTAAAGATTGCCAATAGAAACCCACTTCCCTGTTGCGCAGGGTAGGGACATTTATCAATATTCAGCACGATTACGGGAGGAGCAGCCCATGTGATTTGTGAGGCGGATGCCAACGTTCAAATCAAGGCTTGTTAAGATCCTGTCCCTGTGTAATCATGGACATTCAGCATCATTAGAATTCAGTACTGGCACTGTGCCTCATGCTTTGATTTTCTCCCGACAATTTAATAATGTTTATTGTGCTGATTATATATAAATTCATTGGTGCAATAAACATGCTTCTGTTGTCAGTGCCTGAGAAAAATGTGGTGGGGATCAAGTTAAATGGCAGCAGCTAAAGGAGCTGCAAGAATAAGCAGGTGCATTCAAGCCTCTTGCTGTCATTTGAGTCCATAGGAACAGAGAGTCTCAACTTCTTAGGGAAATAGACAAAACTCAGGCCTGAGATAACTGTAAAGGTAAAGAGACCGTCTTGTTTCCCTATCTGATTGTCTCACATTAGGAAATTCCAAGTTTTGGTGTGGGTAAACAGAATCAACAGAATGCAAATGAAACATTTATTAAAATGCTAAATTTAGTAAAGCCCTTTGAGCTTCTTGGATCAAAGCAGCTATGTAAATACAAATAGCAATTACTACTTAAGTAATTGCCTGAATTAAAATTCGAAATATCACATTACATTATGATGCACTAGGGAAAGGGACTTGCATTTAATCAGTTCCATCTCTGCGCCAAGCACCGGCTAGACTCTTGCTTATGGAGTGATGTCTCACTTTATCCACGTGCTCACTTGGGAAGCAGTAAGGATTATTATACCCATTTTGCAGATGAGGAAATCAAATAATAGAAATTAAATAACCCAGGGTCATAGAATTGGTTAATGGCATATCCAAGATCCAAATTCAGGTCTGGTTTTTAGTCTGTAAAATAGTACTTAAAAGTTTTTATTCAGCTTAGAAGTGAATACTAAAGTATGATAAAATTAGTGTCCCTAAAAGATATTTTAAACTTAATCGAAATCAATTAGACAAAACATTTATTAACTTAACCTACTGTGTGCAAATCACTGCATTTAAAAGAAAATACCAGAATTTTTTTTTTTAATGCTTTTGTGGTATATATTCTTATTTACTAGGCCTTTCATGAAGTGGGGTAAGTGAGATTTACAAGATATAAATAATTTTGGTCTGAAACAGCACATAAAGAACAAAAATGAACCTCTGTGTGGGATTTGCACACAGGCAGATCTAAAACAAGCTTCTTTCCTTTAATGTATCCCCACTTTTCCCCCTGCCTTCTAAATCCTATGTTTCCTCAATGGACACATCATATGCTTTTTATTCCATTTCAGTTGTCCTCTATAGTCCAAATCAGAAATATTCCCTTTTATTCTGATCCCAGCTTATTTGCTTTCAGTTCAGCCACAATCATTAGATGTTTTATAACTTGGGTATTTCTCGGATTCATAGCTGTTCTAAATATTTGTTCCAAGGTGTCCTTAAGCAATTTGGTCAAAGATCTTTCTTTAAACCCTGTTCAGATGGTGGTTGAGCAGCTTCTGCTTTTTTGGGGGCCTCATATTATTCTCAGAAACAGGGGACCCACACTGGGCACTTTTCTC